TCAGTTCATTTTCTATTTCAAAATGCTCTTGAAAATTGCTTCTAAAGGCTCAAGTATCATGAAAAAATAGTTTTCATTTTGTTTACTCAAAATTCAATTGTTTAAGATTTTCATACAACAAGAAAAATGAATGAACAAAATATTGAAACATTTTTATCATCGGATGAATTAAGGTTAAAAATAATGAATGAAGGTAGAACAGATCGTGTAGAAGTTAATCAACGAATGTTAATTGATAAAATGTTAGCACGTTATTCATCTGAATTTGTTGTTTATCGAGAATTAATTCAAAATTCAGATGATGCTCAATCAACATCATTTACTCTTGAAATAACTTGTGATCCATCGACTGCAAAAATAAATTATGAATCGATTAATAAAGATCATTTATCCATTAATCAAAGAAAAAAGTCGAAAATTTTAGCCAATATTGGACAACGATTAAAAAATCATCAGAAAACAAATACAATAAATTCAAATAAAGATTTAAATAATAATTTATTCAATAATCAATATTCATTTGAAAATAATTTTAATAATTGTATAATAACTGAAATTCGTACAATAAACAATGGAAATATATTTAGTGAAGATGATTGGAAACGAATTATAACTATTGCTGAAGGAAATACAAATGTTGATGCTATTGGACAATTTGGTGTTGGATTTTTTTCAGTTTTTTCTTATTCCGAACAACCTATGATTGTATCTGGTAAAAATTGTTTAGTATTTTCATGGCAAAATGGAAAAACATTAGTAACATTTCGTAAGGAATTATCCGATGATCAACAACAAGCTTCAACTTCAATTATTCTTAAAATGAAAAATAAATATATTTTAAAAACAAAATCAATTTTAGAAATCAATGAAACTTATAATAGTCTTCAGACATCAACAAAATCAAATAAAAATATACTTACAAATGAAACCGTATCTACAATGGATTTAATACAACTGAAAGTTTTTTTTACAAAAATTCTTTCCTTTACTAAATATATCAATGAATTAATTATTAAAATAAATGGTTTAATAGTTTTTCAAGTTAATAAAACAAAACAAAATTTATCAACAAAATTATCAATAGCAGCAAATAAGTTTATACTAAATAAAACATATAATTTTCTTCGATTTAATTCATTGATACAAACGGAACAAAAATTTTCTATTCATAATGGTCCATCAATAACATTTAATCATATTGATATTCAAGCTGAATTAATCATTGATAAAAATTTTCATAAACAAATTCAAAATGTTCTTAAAAAGAGTTTACCTTCAATTTTACATATTCAATTTTTATTTCCATCAACTAAAGTTTGTTCTATGGTTTTTTTTTTGTATAAAATTCTCTGTCTTTCTTTGTTTTTTTTTGTTATTTTCTAGATATTTGATGAACAACAATCGAAATTATTAATAAATAATAATTTAAATAATCAAATATTAAAAGAATTAATTCCATTAAAATTTCATAATCAAGAAATTTTTCCATCTGGTCAAATATTTATTGGTTCAGCAACACATCAAACAACAGGTATTGGTATGCATTTATTTACTCATTTTATTCCAACAATTGAACGTGAAAATATTGATCTACAAGATCCATATATTTCAATTTGGAATGAACAACTTCTTGTATCAATTGGAAAAATTATTAGATTTATTTATGATCAAACTATTCTTGATATTGAGAATAATATTCAACAGGAAATCAATCAACAACTCAATCTTATTCTTACTTCTTATGCATTTCAAACATCAGCACCAAATAAAGATATTAGTTAGTAGCAGAATATCAATTTTTCATATTATTCAACGATATATATATGTTTTTTTTTGCAGGTGATTTCCTTCTTGATGGATTTTTTTCATCGAATGAAGATATTCTTGTTCCAGTAAAACAATCTCCATCACATACTTATCTTTCATTAATTTCATCAACACAAGCTTTTTTAACAAATTCTAAACATATTGAAGCATTTCTTCCTATACCTCTTGTTCCTTTTACTATTGGAAAACATAATTTTTTTAAAGTTTTAAAAGAACATCAATGGATTGAAGAAATTGATAATGAAACAATTTTATTTGAAATTCATCAATCGATTTTTTTATTGAATGAATTTATTGAATTACTTCATTGGTTATGTAAATATGATATAGATAATAATGATAAATCTTATATAAAGCGTGTTCTTTCGAAAATCCATTATCGTGAAACTCATCAATCATGTATTATTAAATTAGAAAATATTACATTTTATCATACTTTAAATATATGTTCTCTTCCATTGCCATCCAATGTATTACCATCGAATATAGCTGGTCATATATCTCGTGAAAATTTACAAACACGATTATCATTATCAGCAATATCACCAAAGAATTTACTTGAATATTATCTCAATGAAAATCAACAACAACTTTTTCATAATGAAAATACATCTAAAATTCTTCTTAGTTTTATTTGTCAATATTGGAATCAATTTAATGATATTGAATTAAATAAAATAAAAAATAGTTTATCTCATATGGAATGTATTCCAACAAGTCAAGGTATGAAATCACCGAATGAATCATATATTCGATCATTAAATTTATCTCCTGATTTACCTATAATTACACTTTATATTCCATCACTTGAGAAATCTAATAACCAAGAAGAAAAACAAGAATCAATAGATTATTCAGTATCTATTGATTTTCTTAGATCAATCGGTTGTCGAACAATTTATATATCAACATTAACAAATACTTGTCATATTGAATCAAATATTTCAACAAACAATTCACAAATACTTGAACATTTTATTCAAGATTTATCAAAACAACGTAAACATATGAGTGACAATGATTTTCATGCATTAAAACATAATCAATCTATTACAGGTTAATTTTGTGAAACATCATCTAAATATAGTGTCAGACGAGGACAGGTTTTAATCAGAAACGATCATAGACCAATGAGTTATCTAGATTTCGTTTCCCAAGTGGACGAATCAAAATTTCGGATGGGATGCCGCCTACTCAGTCCGCCCACTATATAAATCACTGCCACAAATCTTTACAAAAGCTTAACTAACCCTGTACCCTTTCCTGCACTCACAACTATAGCTATGTTGTTTCCTACATTTTAAAATCGTTCGAATAGCGTTAACCATTACACTTTTAATTTAGAAATAAATTCCCTTAATGTTTTTTTTTCATTTTCTTGTATAGGAACAACGTTAAAGTCGAATAATGAAATGAAACATAAATATAAACCAAGTGATCTTCATTTTCCATCAGTAGCAATTCGTCTTCAATGGAACGAATTACCCATAATTGATTGGATAGATATTGATCCACATTCACAAGAATATTCTTTTCTTAGAGAACTTGGTGTAAGAGAAGTACCAGATTTATATCAATTATTGAATCGAATTGATCAAGAACATCAATATGGATCAAAAAAAATATCCAATTATCAATTACCAAAATCACTTATATTTTTTGCAGAAAATTTTCAAGAACATTATTCCAAAGTATGGAAAAAGTCAGATATTGAAAAATTTTTTCTTCCATCATCTACTTATTATGTCAATCATTCAACAAAAGTTATATTAAGAACACCTGAAATTATTTTTCAAGGTTAGTTTCGGTATTAAGTTCTGTTTATTGTTAATTTGGAACTATTCTTTTTTTTTTGAATTAGAACCAAATCCAATATTTCCATGTTTGCTTCCTGATGTACTTCGATATTTTTCACAATATTTTAATATTAGTTTACTTGGTGTTGAAAAACATCCTTCCTTATCCATAGCTTTTAATATACTAATGAAAAAAAGAAATCAATTATTAACGTATCAAACTGCTGCAATATATTTTGCTTATTTTAATACGTTAGATGGTCTGAATACAACATTTATTCAAAATATTTCAAATATTTCATTTATTCCTCTATCAGGTTTGTTAATTTTTTTTCTTTATTATTTTAAGAAAACATACGATATAATATATTTAAGAAAACAATATCTATTGTAAACCATCACAAGTATTTATTCGTTCAAAAAGTTCAACAACCGATAAAATATCTCAAGATAATAATAATAATAATGTATTCGATGATGAAATAGCACGTGGTCTTATTGATTATATAGATTATGGTGATGAGGCTAATTCATTTCTTCTTAATATTGGAGTTCGTCATTTTCCATCAGCAGAAAATCTTGCTGATTTACTTATTGATCGACAAAAAATATATTTTAAGCGAAATGAAGATACGAGCGATCAAGTTCTATCAGCTAAAGTACGTTTTTATACAAATTGTTTAATGCAATTATCGATTGTATCAAATACAACACAACAATTATATGTTGAACCATTACATAGTCGTTTAATTAATAAACCATGGTGTTTAGCTTATCAAATTCCGGAAGGATCCAATGGAATTAAATATCAAGAATTTAAAATTACGAAACCAAGTGATATTTATTTAGATGATGATAATCAATATGCTATTAAACTTCGACCATTATGTGCACCTGAAGAAAAGCAATTAATTCAATTATATAAAAAATTTGGTGCAAAATGGATATCCGATTGTGTTGAACGAACTTTAATAAATCTAGGTTTATGTTTATAACAAAATATATCATAAAAATAATTTTTTGTTTTTGTTTTGTTTTCTTAGGAAAAAAAATTATAACGGATAGAAGTAAAGAATTACATAATCGAATTCTTCATCGTTTAGATATGTTATTTGTTAATAATAGAGTATGTATCTTTTTTTTTGTTTGTTAATATTTTAAATAAAATGTTTTTTTTTCTTCAGGGAGAATTTCCGGAACAAACTGATTTAAAACGTTTGGAGTTATTACGAAAGCAACTCTCTGTTTATGAAACTGAAGATATTCAGTGGCAATTAAAATTACAAAATAAAACAATCACATTAAATGTAAGATTGATCAAAAATAAATATTTATTTAAGTTTTATAATAATAAGACTTTTTCTTTTCTAAATAAAAGCCTATAGAATATAGTTCATGTGCGCTTGAACATAAAGAAACTAAAGTATATTTATACATTCACAAAGATATTTCTACTCTTGATTACATTGATATTGCTACTGAATTAATGAGATTTGTCTGTAAAAAATCAGTAGATACATTAGTTCATTCAATCAGTGATAAACTTACTTCACCATTAGAAACACTTAAACGACGTGGAATACCTGTTGATCGATTATTGAAAAGTCCAGAACAACAACGTAATGTTAACATTATCTTAGGTGATATGGTAGAAATTAAAAAAGCAACTTTTTTTTTATAGCGGTTAAGTTATTATTACAAGCTGAGAAAACAAAATCAAATATTGCACATACAGTTGAAATAAATCGTATTGATCATTTTGGACGGTATAAATCAGAAGATGATGCTGCTATAAACACAATGATTCGAGCAAGTCGATCATATTCTCAACAAGAATTCAATCAACAAGAACATTTTATAAATGAAAATAATACATCATGTGAATGTGTTCCGGCTGCAAATATGATTCGTTATGATAAACTTCTTCATGAAATTCCTCTTTATATTGATCAAAATCTAAAATTAACAAGTTTTTTGATTCAACAAGCTACACATCTTGCTTGGTTATTATCTGGTCTTGCAAAACAAGTATTTAATCTACCTGTAGAAACAATGCATTTATTTCGTGATATTGATAGTGGTATAAAGATTTTATATAATCAAAGTCAAGGTGTATCATTTTTTTTTTGTTTTAGCTCGTATTGCTTTCAACAGTAATGGGGCATTATTTTTCAATCTCCGTTATTTTGAACAAGTCTTTTTCGGTGATCTAAAATCTTATATGAAAAATTCTAAATTATCATCATCATCAACTCCTATTGTTCGTACAATCATTAATTTTTATTTTATGATTACTTGTCATGAGTTATCACATAATATTGATTTAAATCATGATTTAAATTTTATTAAGCGTTTTGAAAAGGTTTCTGTTCGATTTATGGATGCAAAAGATGTATTTCTATCCAAGTTCTCTTTTCAATAATTAATTTTTATCAAACATATCTTTGTTTATTCGATTTTCTTTTGTTTTTCAAAATTTTCTTTCATTAATATGAAATCAACTGAATAAAAAAATGTTTCAGATGTATTCCAGATACAAGAAACTTAATATTGTCCAATTTTGACTGTTTCACTTATATCTATATTTACAGAGTTATCGAGTATGTCAAACTTGAAAGTTGCATTTCAAGTACTCAATGTGCCTCGTGGATGTGGGTGTGACTGTAGGTGTAATTGTGAGTATGGATCTCGCTTCATCTACATTCACACCTGTAGTAGACAATAGATCACTGAAAGAAATATTGACCTAAGAGAATGTGGCTGCGTCGATGTAATTACACTTAATTCCTTTTCTTTATATTTTTAGACTAATCGCTTCCATGTAAAAGTACGCCTTTATATATGCAGTTAGGAAAATGAAATAGGAGAGAGAGATACGAAGAGTAAGACAAGGATAACAAGAAAGGTAATCATAAAGAAGAACATCAATATTGGTGTTGTCACAACAAGTGATGAACTAACTAATCATAAACATAGTTACGAAACAAGGAAGGACAATGCATGTAGTAACAGTAGATTATGACACATAGTAAAGTGAGCGATGAATATCACAGAGAAGTGATATGATAATAGTCATTCTGCAATTAAATTTTTTCTTGGTCTATTCTTGGACTACATAGGAAGGAGTCTATTACATTTCAATTGATTCTCACTAGCCAAGAGTTTACACGTCTAACACATATTCTTATTGGTAGTCTGTTAGCAAAAAAAAGACATTTTTTTCTTCTTACCGAACAAACTAGAACGATTTTTTCACATAGAAAAAAAAATTGAAACTCATAATATCTTTCTCAAAACTACTGAAGTTATTGCTTCGTCAGAATTTTCATGTATAGGA